TTCCCTACAAAATGAACAAGTCTAAGATTTTGGTACCTGCAATTTTTTCCTCCTCTAAAATTTAGAACTATTATTTTAAATATTTGTTATTATGCAATCATTTTAAGTACTTGTTTGTTTATTAAAAAGTTAAGTGAGCATTTTATAAGTTATTCACAAGTGTTAGTAATACATGCTAGTGTGTAACATTTATAATTTTACAAATCATTAAAATAAGTGTTATTTATTTACTATAAAATCTTCATCAAGAACCAAATAATGATTTTAGAATTTAGAAGATGAAAATCAAAGAAAAAAATATTTTATAAGGATCTAAACCAAACTTTACTCATTTTACAAAGACAAAAAAATATTTCACAATAACCAATAATAATGCTCACAAATTTTTTAAAGATTAAAAACAAAACAAAAAAAAAGATTATAGGAATCAAAATCAAAACTCACTAGTTTTACTAGAAAAACAAAATCACATTTAATCATTATTTTTAATTCCTACAATTATATAGCACTCATTAACAAATTATAAATAGATAAGAGGATCGAGCATATATATATATATATTTTTTTACGAGTGTTCATCTTAAATGGCAACTACTAGTGTCTCTAGTATTATATCAACATATGATACCGAGGGATGACGACAAATAAGGATAGAAACATGTAATAGTTTCCCATCACTTGTTTGGTGCGAATATCTTATCAATGAATGTTTGATAAAATATAAAATTTTAAATAAAAAATAAAATAAAATAAAATAAAACTAAAATTAAATAATTTTAAAAATTTTATCAACATATGATATCTACAGTAGGGAGGAATATGGACATGTAATAGTCCCCTTCACCTGTTCCAATATTTATTTAGCAAATATCGTATCCGTAAATATTGGTCAAAGTATAAATTTTAAATAAAAAGATTAAAATAAAAGTAAAATTAAATAATTTTAAAATATCAACCATTGGTGTATACTTTTCTTTAAACAAGATATGAAAAGTAAAATAAAATAAAATAAATGTATGGTAGAAGATTGAACTACATCCTTTGCAGAATTGCAGTTACTTTTGAACCGGATCCGTATCCGTATCCAATGACCTCCCTATCATTCTCAGCTTTGCATGCGATGAATGTTATAACTTGTTTAGAAAAAGGTCTAGTGACCCCTAAACACACGTATCTTTTTTTTTCTTTTTCTTTTTCTTTTTTAACTATGATATTGGTATTTTTGGAAGTAATAACTAATTTATGCTGAAAAACGAACTCATAAAGATCGGAATTGACAAACATCTATCAGATTTCAGCGTGTTTCCAAACAAGCATTTAGTGTCCTGACTTTGGAAATCTTCAGTGAAAACATCAGATGTTTGCTTCTGTATTGGAGATGTGCTCCTCAATACTGATAAAGTTCATCACATGTATGATTGTTTATGGAGTCCTCAATTTGAAGCTGTGCAAGTAGCTTAAGAGTGACATGACATAATAAGTTGTATTACTGAAAAATGAGTTAATAATGCATATTACAACTTAAGTATTGTAGTCCCTACCATAATTGTAAATTATAGTACAAGACTTTATGACAGCAACAAATACAAATGTTTGTTATGTATTTTTTTTATTTGAAATATATATTTAATAAAATAGTCTCACAACATTAAAATAATTTAGCTGTCTTTGGACAAGATGCTAGAAAACCGATGCTCAATAGTCACAATATGTTCTGTTTAATACTTGGTAGTGGTATGCTGTTGAACAAGTTCTAAGTTTATTTGAGTCTTTTCTTCAATCCTGCTCAAGATGGATATGACTATTTGCACTGTTCTATTTTATTCATAACTGATGCCAAAATCATATTCAAGTTTACCTTTGAAGGCCCTATAAGCACCCTAGATAATCTGTGATTTGTGTATGCAGTAATTTTACAAATTAGCAGGTGGAGGCAGTCACTATGAATTTGTGTATTTTTATGGAAAGAAATAATATGACCCACAGATAAGATGCAGGGAAACATTTCCTTTATTTTAATCACAACTACTATAAAAAAATTGTAATATTGCAGTTTGAATCATATACAAGATAGTAAGTACAACTATTATTAACTGTGTCAAACTCAGCAAATCATTGTTTACAGGTATCATCCTTTCATACTTGTTAACAAGCTAATGTAACTCCTTACTCCTCAGTATCTAAAAAGATATGAACAAACTGCCATTAGGCTCCCTCAATTTACATTAACTAAAGTTGAGCAATAATTAATAAACAATATGTTAACCTGATTGAAGCAATTGGATCCAAAAAACGATGCAAAGCCACTGCTTTTCTTGATATGAAAGTAATTCCAGTGTTGGCTCAATAGTCTTAAATATGATTCTCCACATGGGCAAAGATGCATGAGAAAAACATTCTCCATTTTGGATCATTGTATCAAAACTACTGACATATCATCTGTTAGTCTTACAATACAGATCCCAGAGATGAATGATTCTTCAAAAGCACTTGCTTCAACAAGTGAGGCTTTATATCTTTGTTATGGAATTAATGTATGCTTCAGGAATAACCGATTTCAGTCGCATAAGAAAAGAATTACCACAATCCCCAACTGAAAAAACCAGAGGTGATACCGTAGCAATAAGAACAAAATTTTCACCATTCCCTACATCTATCTTGTACAGCTCATGAAAGACCTCCTTAAAACGATTCACCAACTTGTCATAGAAAACCCTGCTTGGAGGGATGACATTAACAACAAGAATCCCAGATTCACAAAGAACTAATTTAGCAGCAAGAAGAACATCCTTTCTCAAAAATTCCAAAGGCGGAGAACTTACACCGTTCCTTACATCGCTCGAATCCAAATCAACCATAACAACATCAAATCTACACTTGCCCTCATCCTCCACCAAATGACCACCAAAACCATTAACCTCACAACCATTCAATTTCCCATGACATGCAAGCTTCTTCATGGATTCAAAGGCATCCCCAACAACAACATGAACAAACTCACACTCTTCCAATCCAAAATACTTCCTTGCCACCCTCAAAACCTCCCCATCACCCTCCACACCCATGACCTCAAAACCCAATTGAGCTCTCAAAAAAGCTAGCAAAGCCCCACCTCCAACCCCAAGGCACAAAGCCTTGGGCCTAAACCCATTCCGAATCCGCGCCTCCACGTCCCCACAAACCAACACGAGACTAGCCACCATAGGCTCCAAGTAAGGGTGCACCAAAACCCTAAGATCAGGCACAAACCCCACATCACCACCAATGCACACACCATCCAAACCACAACCATCTCTCTCAGGAACAACACAAACTTCAGTCTGAATCAAATTAGGCATCCTCTTGAACCTCAACCTCCTCCTAAACTCCCTCCCATGACCAACCCCACTTTCAATTTCAACATCCTCAACCAACATCTCACCAACACAACACCCAACACATTCATGAATCACCACACTAGAAACCAAGTTATCCTCATAAATCAAAAGGGGTATCTCAGGAACCCCGTTTCTGAACAAAGATCTTGGGGAGAGGGCCAAAAGAAGGGGTTTTGACCACACGTGGAAACCCTTTTGGTGGAAGGAACATTCTGAGGGACGGTTATACACACGTGCGGGGAAAGTTTCTTCCTTGAAGTGGTTCCCTATCAGAATCAAACGTGATATCTGAGGGGCAGTTAAGAGGAGTTGGAGATGACCCAATTCGGTGGAGAAGATCCAATCGGTTTCGCGGCCTTCGGGGACTAACATGGCACCGACTCGGGGTGAGTCGGTGGGGTGGATCGGTGAGTCGAGCACGGCAACTCGGAGGGGGGAATCGGAACATGTTGGATGGGGGATTGTGAAGGAGATGAAGCGAGAAGGGGTTATGCTTTCGAAGGTTGATGCGTCGAGAGCCATCACACACGTTCACACTACTTTGTTATTGTATTCCATCCATCGTCTTTCTTCGATTGTTTAACGTTATCTCCACTGAAGAAGTTGCATTTTTTTCATGACTTTGAGGTTGCAAAACTATCTATAACGATTGAAAAAACGATACTTTCCTTTAAACTATTTTATCCTTGAAAAGTACATTGTATTTCTATTGTAAATGAAATAAGTTACTGTATATTATATAATTATGTTTAAAATTATTTTTTTTTTATAAAATTGATAGATCCATTGATATAAGAAATAGAGATAAACAAAAATAGGTTAAATTATATTTTTGTTTTCTTAAAAAATTATTTATTTTTTTATTTTTAAAATGTTATTTTTATATTTTATTTCTTAAATTTAGATTGAACTAATTTTTTAAATAATGATTATTTTTTAAATATAATTTTGAATCTTTTTAATTGATTTAACACTTAAATTTATCTTATTGGATTCATTTAAATGAGGATTGTTGGACGTCACTAAAGTTTGAATTAAAAATGTCATATGTATAATAAAAGTCACAAAAAATAAGTTAAAAAAATGAAAATTAATCAATTTACATTAATCTTAACATTTTATTTTAATTAATTAGTCATTTCTTATTTAATTAAATAATTAAATTGTTTGAGTTAATATCTAATTAAATGATTAGAACTATTTTATACTTTGATAAAAAAAAGGACTATTTTATATTAATTAATTAGTTATTGTTTAATTTAATAAATTAATTAAATTGTTTGAGTTGGAAAAGGATTATATATTTCTAGAAGCACGTGCACATTCAGAAGAAGAAAAATTATTTCGATGAGACATGTATGGTTCCTCTCTTTTGATATCTAAAAGATGATAATTATTTTTTTTTATCCGATAAAAAGTAATAATTTGGTAAAAATGTATTTAACGGATCAACAAACACTTCTCTCTATATTGAACAAAGATGAAAACAAATAAAGTAAGTCTGAGATACTCTATAATTTACAATGGTAATTTTCATGAAGTACTTACACAAAGAAGCTCGAAGATTCATAAAATAAAAGGTGATAGATAGATACAAATAATCATACTTGTACGATTCTTTCTTTCTTTAAAAGGTCTTGTACTTAATTTGTTGTATCACATTTAGATAGTAAGATGAAACAACTTTGTTATCTTATACAGCTTTAACTATGTGTTAGCTTTAACTATGTGTTATTGTTGTGAGCATAAAGAGATTTATTTGTAAAAAATTACTTAATTGTTAAAGTCTTGAGAGGCTTTGTGTTAAAAGAATACTTGGATAATTACTTAAAGAGGCAAGTCAAATAATATTTAGGTTGAGTAAGAAGTGACTTGTTAAATAATACTTATGTGACAACCTTCTACCCTAAAGGATTTAATAACTAACATATAACAAAATTTTTAAAAAATAAAAATAAATTATAATAATTCTCTTCATAAAACTATAAACGGGTTCACATTCATAACAATTATTTAAATATTATTTAATCAAAACTAAGAATAACCTCTTAAATCAAATAATTTTTGACAAAAAAAACAAACTTAAAAATAAATCCAACTTAAGACAATCATTTATCCTAAAACTCAGTCCCAATGTTACATTATCATAACAAAACCCCTCTTTATGGTTCTCCATCCTCAAACTCATCATCTTGTACTTGCTTTATTCGTACAAATGACATTCAACTTAAACATAAACAATATAAACACAAGGAATGATAATACATCTCATCCATAAAAACATATACAAAGCATAAGGATAAACACACACACATCAAACAACAACTACTTCTCATACACCTTTACCAATTCTCCCATACAATATTAATAATAGTTTAATATATCATATTCCATCTACCACCATCATTCCATTGATCACAAACATAACATACTCATAAATTAACACTCATGAGATGTATGCTTCTAACTCTATATGCATGTGGTACCAATCTCCTCCTCATCATCGAGTGTACAGAATAACATTGGAGTAATGGAATGACACCACCCCGTCGAATAGTATAGGGACTACTCTACAACAATGATCCCCAAACCACCTCACTAGGGGATGTCTATTAGGGTTCTATCAAAGTGTTATAATTAGTCATGGTAGCTTCTTATTCCCAACAGAGGTTTTTGCACCATAACACCCCATAGAGCATAGGTAGATGACCTATGATATCCTACCTACTTAAACTCGCACTATCCCGCGAAACAAAGTATGAATACATGGACTAAACAATCACATCACAACAATATAATATGCAATGACTCACTTCCTCGCTTGGTAGTCAATAGCACTCGGATTATCAACCACACCTCATCATATTACTCATAGTAATTCAACACATCATACATTTCTATAACTTCTCATACAACATCTTCACACAATGTAATATTAAACATTACTATTACTCATATTATTCATTCGTCACATATTATAGCATTCTTCATCATAACATCATTAACATAATATCATCATCATCGAATCTCAAAATCATCATCATCAAACATCATAATATTATACATTAGCATTACTTATATAACATATAGGAACTTATGGAATAAAAAAACCCACCAATATAACTCAAATTATTTATTCTTATCTTAAGCTTCTATAACAACGTATGGTCTAAGCGTGTTATCTAGAAATATAGCTATACTATCAAGATGATATTAATTTTATTAGAAAGCTAAGATAATTATCTACAACTTTTATTTTGGTCTCAAAAGTTGATTTTATAATCTACTATTTTTAAAAATTACAAAATCGCAACATTTAAGCCTAACTCTAATAGTCTGACCTTTGCTTAGAAATTTTATCATAACTTAAGTTCTAGACCTCTTTTTTGGGTGATTCCAATGCCTTTAAAATGCTAATATCCAAGCCTACAACTATTATGGATAACACGAAACCTAATTCGACCATCTAAGGGCTCTCACAATGCTTATATGATTCTTTTGAAGCCTTAGATTTTCATTGAATCATGCAAGACATGAAATAAAGGTTTATTAATAGAATTTCCATCAACTCTCGACAAACTACTTAATTAGTCATTCTTTTGATTTTTCTAATATTTTAGGGGTTGAATTACAAGTTTCTTTTAAACCTAGTAAGATAAGTGTTAAATTGATCAAACATTTTTGAGTGAAATGGAAATTTATCAACAACTTAAGGACAAAGACCACAACCACTATCTCTAAGTCATAGGTAGGATAGTTTTGTTTATGGGTTTTTAGTTGCTTATTAGGAGCATAAGCTACTACCTTACCTTTCTGCATAAGCATTCTTCTTAACCCCATTTTAGAAGCATCACAATATACTATAAAGGTCTCTTTAGGGTCAGGTAACACTAGGATAGGTGCAATAGTTAACATTCTCTTAAGCTCTTATAAGCTCTTATCACAACTAGAGTCCCACACAAAAGGTTGTTTCTTCCTAGTTAACTTAGTCAAGGGTAAGGCTAGCCTAGAGGAGTTCTTCATAAACCTCCTATAGTAACCGACTAAACCCAAGAAACTCGTAATCTCAAAAGTTAACTAAGGTGTTTTCCACTCAAGTACGACTTCTATCTTAGTAGGATATACAACTATACCCCTTTCAAAAATAACATGTCCTAAAAAACTAACCTTACTCAACCAAAACTCACACTTAGATATTTTGACAAAAAATTGTTTATCCTCAAGGGTTTGCAACACTACTCTAAGGTGTTCAACATGTTCCTCCCTAGTCTTAGAATACACCAGATGTCTTCTATAAAAACTAGGCTAAAACCCTATTTTGATCCCTTATATTAATTGTTTGTTTCAATTTAGTCCCACTTTTAATTTTGGTTTCAATTTGGTCCTAAACTAATTAATTGGTTTCAATTTAGTCCCATATTAATTAATTGGTTTCAATGTGGGACTTTCGTCCAAATTATTTAAACGGAGTTAATTTTTGGCCACGTGGATGCCACGTAGATGCATACATGGATGCCACGTGGAAGACAAATGGCTAAAAACCTATTTTGGTCCCTTATAATAATTGTTTGTTTCAATTTAGTCCCAATTTTATTTTTGGTTTCAATTTGGTCCCAAATTAATTAATTGGTTTCAATTTGGTCCCAAATATATTAATTGGTTTCAATTTGGGACTTCCGTCCAAATTATTTAAACGGAGTTAACTTTTGGCCACGTGGATGCAGTTTGGATCCCTCAAGTATTACAATTGTGCAGTTTTGATCCCCAAGATTTTAATTGGGTAATTTTAGTCCTTAAAGAATTGCAATTGCGCGATTTTGGTCCTTCAATTTTTAATTGAACAATATTAGTCCCTCGAATATCATAATAGTACGATTTTAGTTTCTCCCATTAAAAATTAATAATTTTAATATATATATATATATAATGTTTTAAAATTAAACAATTATTTATCTATTCAAATTAACGTATATTATAATTTTCGATATTATATCAATAATATTATTAATATATTTATAGATAAACTAATAATTTGATAAATATAACTTGTTATATATTAATATACTTTTACAAAAATATAAGTATATTAATTAGAAATATATATCTGATCTTATATATTTATATTTTTGTAAAAGTATATTAATATATATTAAGTTATATTTATCAAATTATTAGTTTATTTATAAAAATAGTAAAAATATTATTGATATTAATTTATCAGTAATATTAAAATACTAATAATATATAAATTTTATTTATTTAGTAATAGTAAATATATATCATTTGATACATTAAAAAAAATAATATACGTTAATTTAAATAAACAAACAATTATATAGTTTTAAAACATTATATATATATATATTAAAATTATTAATTTTTAATGGGAGAAACTAAAATCGTACTATTATGATATTTGAGGGACTAAAATTGTTCAATTAAAAATTGAAGGACCAAAATCGCGCAATTATAATTCTTTAAGGACTAAAATTACCCAATTAAAATCTTGGGGATCAAAACTGCACAATTGTAATACTTGAGAGATCAAAACTGCATCCACGTGGCCAAAAGTTAACTCCGTTTAAATAATTTGGACGGAAGTCCCAAATTGAAACCAATTAATATATTTGG